GAACTGCCGCCCAACTGCTGGAGAAGTGGAGCGGAACTGCCGCTTTACCTGTTATTGAAACACAAGCTGGAACTGGAGTGGAACTGCCGGCCAGCTGCTGGAGAAGTGGAGTGGAACTGATGAAAGCTGGAGGAGAACTGCACCCGCACTGGAGCAGAACTTGAGCGGAGTGGAACCGCAGCGGGACTGGAGCGGAACTACTGCTTTCCCTGTTATCGGGACACAAATTGGAGCAGACCGGCACCCGCACTGGAGCAGAATTTGAGCGGAGAGGGAGTGGAAGTGGGTCGGAAATGGGAGAGGAACTGGATCGGAAAATGGACGGAAGTGGAGCGGAACTGCAGTGGAACCGCAGCAGGACTGGAGCGCAACTGCAGCGGAACTGCTGCCGCCCAACTGCTGGAGCAGAACTGGAGATGGAGATGGGGCGGAACTGGATCAGAAATGGAGTGGGACTGGGTCGGAAGTGGAGTGGGACCAGAGTGGAACTCCAGTAGATGTGGGGCGGAACTGCAGTGGAACTGGCATGGAAGTGCCGCCGGCCCAAACTGGAGCGGAACTGCACCGGCACTGGAGCGGAACTGGAGCGGAACTGGAGCGGAGAAGGATTGGAATCGGGTCGCAAATGGCGTTCACATTCATGGACAGTATCTGGACCGGAAATGGCATGGAACCGGACCGGAAAGTGGATCGGAACTGGAGTGGAACTGGAGCGGAACTCGAGGAGGTCACCGGGCCGACCATTTCTACAATGATGGATGGATACATATCTGAAAGGCATCCACGTTCATTGACAGTATGCGCGCGTTTCCTTGCATGGCATACACACAGCTCTCGGACGGGACCGCTGCATGGGCCTCACGCGACCACTACCACTGACTGAAGAATGTATCACAACTACACAGGCATTTCTATACGGCCGAAGGTCGTCGGCGCTCCAAATGACAAGGCGGGCAGTATATGGTGTGCGCTGCAATGACAGAGAACGACCGCTGCGGAAATGAACTGATGAGTGTCGCCGCGCACATACGTTCGAGTATCCGAAAGAGCTCCGACCGTAAATTGTCGTCCCCTCGAAAAACGGAAGGTCGTGAGTTCGAACCTCACAGAAAAAACAAGTCTGTGGGAGAGGGGAGTGCTCGAGGAGAGCAACAGACCAAGGAGAAAACGACAAACATCGAACAAGGCAGATGGAGACAAAGCGACAAACATGATCCATCTATCACTCTCTCTCTGAATCGCTCTGTCTGTCTGTCTGTCTGTCTGTCTGTCTGTCTGTCTGCCTGTCTGTCTGTCTGTCTGTCGGTATCCCAGCAGGATTGCCAACTCGCTGGCACACTGCAGATTACCTCTCCTCTCTCTCCTCTCGCCATCTCCGATTTCGGCATTTCAGCAGTCATCCAATCTATTCGCTGTCGAACAGAAGCCAACTCGCGGAGTGGTGTTTCCCTGTAAGAGAAGTTCTGTCCGGATGAGCCTATGCACGTGGAAGCGGACCAACTGCTAGTCAAGCAGAGGGATAGATCGATGAATAGACACATGGATGGATGGACCGATGGATGGAGGTATGAATGGATGGATGGATAGATCGATTGAGGGGTAAAAGGATGGATAGACTGCGAGAGAAGTCTGTACATGTGGGTCAATGCACATGGAAGCGAACAACCCCTGCTAGTAGAGCAGAAGAACGGATGGATGGATGGATTGGCAGATGGACGGACGGATGGATGGATGGATGGATTGGCAGATGGACGGACGGACGGACGGATGGATGGATGGATAAGGTGGTAGGTGGATGAATGTGGACTGTAAGAGAAGTCTATACATGCCAGTCGGTGCACATGGAAGCAAACAAACTGCTAGTAGAACAGAAGAACGGATGGATGGATCGATGGATGGATGGATCGCAGATGGACGGCGACTAAATACGTTGCATTCAGCAGTAAACGAAAGGAGAGGAGAGAGGTAATATTAGTGCAGGTGCAGGATTTCATCGGAAAAAAAAGATTTCATGAGAAAAAAAAAAAAAAAGGATTTTGCAGAGAAAATCATGGCAGGAAGTCAACGGCGAAAAGTCAACGGTGACACTGTTGAAAAGACCAATGTTTGTCGATGGTAAAAAGTAGTTAAAAAAAAAAAAAAAGAAGTACAATGCAAAATCGGGCATCCGGCAAAGTTGAGAAGTCACAAAGACTCACAAAAAAATCTGAAATAGACAAATCAGTTTTCAAAACACAGATCAGAGTGACACACAGGAAAAAAAAAAAAAAAAAAAAAGGACGAAGGCATCTCAGTGTACAGTGTACACCCTTCAACATCCGTTTGCTGTGTCTTTTCGTTGGTGTACATACTGGTAGTGCCTCTCTTTTGCAAATTTTAAAAATGAAAAAAAAAGGAATTTAATAAAATGAACGATATTCGGTAACCTACAGTGAATGGCACAGATGGACGGTTGAGCATCGATTGCAAACGACAATGGAAAAAAAAAAGAAAAAAAAGGTGTAGAAGTACTAGAACAAAAAATTAATAAAATGAAAAAGAAAAGAAAAGAAAAAAAGACGGTCAAAGAATTCAAGTTGCTAAAGCTCGGGAGCCCATCTTTGATGATCTTTGTGATTAATTCATAAAATGGAAAAAAAAAAGCCAGCCTACGAAAACAAAAAAATAAAATCCAGTGGACATTTCCACAACACATTTCAATTTCCATTTCAATTTCGACTTCGAAAACAAAAAAAAAAAATCCAGTAGACATTTCCATAACACATTTCAATTTCCATTTCAATTTCGACTTCGATTTCCATTTCAAATTCGACTTCGATTTGGATTTGGATTTGGATGCCGCTTCAATTTCCATTTCGCTTTCCATTTCGATTTCCATTTCAATTTTCACTTCAATTTCCATTTTGATTTCCATTTCGATTTCCATTTCGATTTCCATTTCCATTTCGATTTCAATCCTATTTTTCAGCGTCAGGTCCGCTCCGAAAATTTTAAAATTTCAATTCAATTTTGGCCATTCTTCTTTCTTCTTCTTTAATGACATCGGACATTTCGCTACTGGATCTTTCCTGTTCAGGAAGGCGCACGATGCGACAAAGGTTCGTTTTCGTTTCCGTTTTCATCATTTACACAAAATCCTATTCGACTCCTCCCATGTCGGTGATTGTTTTAATTTCAATACAAATTTCAATTACAGCGGAATCTGAATCGAGAAAGTGAATCGAATAGTAGTAGGAGCAGTGTAGATGATGCACCAGAAAACTTTTCAATTCAGTTCGACAGACTTTTTCTCTTTCGAGAGTCGGTAAATTTCAAATTTCAAAAAATCAAAAATAAAAATTCCAATTTCCATTCAATTTCAATTTGGTTACAAATTACAATGCTACCCTTGCTGAATGAATGATCTTGTTTGATCGTGTGTCCTTTTCTACTCACCTCTACTCAATGAAGGGGTAAGGGAGGAGTTGGCTGTGGTACTGGACAAGGACGTTGCCCCCAAAAGGAGAGAGGGAGAGGGAGGATGGGAGAGCGAGCGAGAGAGAGAGGGACGGGGAAAGACAGCTTGGAGAAGCAGACCTCCAAAAAAAAGGTTGTGTTCCGTAAAGTGCATGTGTGCGTGTGTGACCGTAACTACGGCTCGACCTGGATGTACTTCACCGCAATTGCGTCCAGAGGGAGGTCAGTCAAAGAACTACCAAGAGTGTGTGTGTGTGTGTGTGTGTGTGTGTGTGTGTGAGGGAGAGAGAGAGAGAGAGAGAGAGAGAGAGAGAGAGGGGGGGGGGGGAGAGGAGGAGCAGCAGACCGGCAAAAAAAAGTTGAGTTCTGTAAACGAGTGCATGTGTGGGAGTGTATGAGACTGGGCTGTGGTTGTGGTTATGGCTGTCAGGAGCATCAGAACCGGACTCGGAGCATACTAACAACACTGGCATTTTCTTCCCAGAGGCATCTGACTGTAATCACGGCTCGACCTGGATGCATATGACATCGATCGCGTCCAGAGGGAGGGCGGTGGAAGAACTACCGAGTGTGTGCGTGTGTGCGGACAAACGAAAGACCTACTTCCCTTGGTGTGTGTTTGTGGCTTTTTCAGGAGCATCTGAACCGGATTCAGAATGTACTCACACTGGCACTCTCCCAGATGCATCTGCCCGAAATTACGGCTAGATTCTGCACGTATTTGACTGCAATTACGTCCCGAGAGAGGTCCTCAGGGTGTCGTCGAACGGTATGCCGTCTGGAAGCTCCAATTGGAGAAAGAGACGGTGCGGCGATGATGAGAAATCGACACTGGAGTTCGAGTGGTGAGGAGTGAACACTGCACATCGATCGACATGCTGATGTCGTCGATAGCCATGTTCTGCTCATCCATTCTTGCGCTATGAATTCGCTCGATGATTGCCGAGATGTCGGCCATGTCCCATCGCTTGGCCGGGTCGCGACAAAGACACCGATGCGCTAGCTCCCCAACTGCATAGACAGACCACGGCGTCGGTACGCCTCTTTGAAACCCCAACGAAGGATCAGCTACGCTCGCAATGAAGGACGCATCGAAGTTGGAATCGCAGAACCGACCAAGCCACTGTGGTACGCCCGCACTGCCGCTAAACATCTCCTTGCTGAAACGGTGCTGGCTCTCCGACACCCTCGCACCCATGATGAGCTCCAGGAGAATAATCCCAAAACTATACACATCGGACTTGGGAGTCGTGGTCGTGATATCTGCACAGTGCACACGCATACAAAAAAAACGGGCCGCAGACACAAAATTTATTCAATTACAATTCGAAATTGAACGAGTTTCAAAATCATTAGAAAAACGCAGGGCGCACGTGCACCCAGGATCAGAAACAACACGAAGGGGGAGGGGGAAGTTACGAACCTTTCAATAGAGAAATTTGGATCTCCCCCCCCCCCCCCAAAAAAAAAAAAAAAGAACGTAACTGTCTACTCAGGGGGATACAAGATTGTTGCTTGAAATTTTGGAACTTTTGATGTTGTCTTTCTTTGTCTTTGTCTTTTGTCTGTCTTCAGGAGCAGATCACCTAAATTGCAGACGAAGAGTGCGATCAACTTTACACACACACACACACACACAGAGGGGGGGGGGGATAGAGAGAGAGAGAGAGAGAGAGAGAGAGAGAGAGAGAGAGAGAGAGAGAGAGAGAGAGA